TCCTTGGTTCTGCTCCCTTCTTCAGCCTGTTGCTACATGACAGAAGACAGTCTTGCCATGGCCGCCTCCTCCTGCCTCTACCCGGCCTGCCTCTGAGTGAACCCAGGGACCACGTTCTCTCTTGGAGGCCACCTTGGAGCAGGGACTATACTTGTACTGTTCTTCTGTTTGAAACGAACTTTCCAACCGACTTGGTTTTCTCTCCTTTTTCTGTCTGTCTGTCCAGAACCAAACTGTCTTACTAACTGCCCCATGGGGACTCTAGCCCTGCCTGCCTCACACTGTAAGTGCCTCCTTCCTCACTTCCCTCCGTCCAGAGAGTTGTGTGTGTAGCTGATGTACTCATGGTTGAATTCATCACCATCTGTGGAGATCCACGCTCATCCCCGGGAACAGACACTGAGTGCAGATACCCTGCTTTGAGTGCCTCTAGGGTCGAACACTTAGCATGTAGATTCTGCTGAGGTTTCTCCTCTCATGGAGTTTGCAGTTGAGAAGGGACATTGACTGGGGGGGGGGGGCGTCTCAGGCACAACTTTGTGCCCAGCGTCTGTTGGTTCCGACCCACCCACCGCTGCTTACTGACCTTTCAGTTGCATCTGTGTGTTGCTGTGTGCTGGGCTGTGTTGAGCCTTCTCCATTTTTTTTTATTTTTTCATACTACCATACCAGAAAGAATAAATCCAAATAGATCTTGTCTTTTCAAGTGAGTCTATTGGCCGAAAAGTAAGTTCTTGCTAAGGATTGGCTGAATGGATCATAGCAGGGACATCCCTGTTCCCTATTTTTGAGAACTCTGGGATTGGCCTTCAGAGCCTGAACCGAGTGAGGCCAGTGAGAAAGCACATGTTTTGGGTTGAGTCAAGGATGTAGTCACCCTCCTAATCTACCAGAAGTTAAGAACTAACATAGAGCCACGCTGTACGTGGTGACGCGCACCTTTAATCCCAGCCCTGGGGAGGCAGAGACAGTGGATATTGGTGAGTTTGAGGCCAGCCAGGGCTACATAGTGAGATCCTGTCTTGGGGGTGTGGGAGACGTAGCCACCATCAGATAAAAGTCGTGTTCCCATGGCAGGAGGAGAGGGTGAATAGCCAAGGAAGTGATGGGAAGGACCATTTTTCCACACAGCCACCTCACTGGCTTATGGGTAAAGGCCAGCATCATTCGTTTATGTGTGCTGGTGTCTTGCTAAGGAAATGTTAGTTTCTGTGACATCATGGCTGCACATTTCTTCCTGCACAGACAGGTGATAGTAAGGAGTGTGTGATGGTCTCTGAGCTGGTTCTGTTCAGCCTCAGTGGGAAGAAGGGGCAGGATGGGCCTGTAGCAGCAGCCACACCAACTGCAGCTAACATGCACATGCTCACTCCTACGGTGGTGGGAGCAGGGACATGGATTTCACAAACTGTATTCACCCTCCCTGGGTACTGTGAGGTGAGGTAACGAGACACGGATACAGTCCCACCTTGACGTCGTGTGTACCCACATGGCAGCTACGAGTACATCCTGGCTGTGGCTGCACCATTGGCATAAATGGCCCAGGGAAGATTCTCCTAGGTCAGGGAAGAGGCCTACCAAAAGGAGGCATCTGATGGAATGGTCTCAGTGTTTCCTTTTTTGCTGGCCCCGCAGGGATGAGGGAAAGACTGCTCCATTACTCCATCGCTCTTACAGAAGCCTGTGGCTCCCTTGCTGCCCTTGGGTCATGACATCCTCGCTGACCATCTCCGAGCGTCCTGTCATGTCTTCATCTTGTCCCCAAAGCCATCGCCTGCCCATTGGACATGGCGTCTGTCCCTTCCATCCCCTCTGTTCCTGATCTCTTCATTCTGGGTCCTTCATTGTCATGTTAAATCCTCCAGTTCATCTCTTGGTTTCCTTTGTGGGCCCTCATTCCGTGACACTGTGCGTGTGCCTTTCATTACTTAATATATCACCCCCTCCGGACCTGTGTGAGCGTCATCCACGGTTCACTGCGTGACACAGCCTTCCGCCCTTCTGTGTGTCCATAACTTCCATGTTTGGACATCCCTGTTCACTGACTGGCAGGCTAGGAACACGTAGGTCCACAGCCCTTTTAAACAAGCGAACAACTACAGATGGCTGCACCATGCCTGAGTGGTCAGCACTCAGCCTGTCACAGTGGCTGGAACACAAGCGTGTGAGCAGGGTCTAGTCCTAGCTCAGACTGCTACCGTGGTGGCGAGTCACTAAAGAAAACTAGACCTCAATTAAAATTTCTGCCTGCAGCATTTTTTTTTCCACACTGTGGGCGTTTGTTTAGCCTTCTGCCAGTCAGCTTGGAATAAACAGTGGCAGAGTTCTGTTTGGCTCTCTTTGCTAATACAGCTGGGTTCCCCACCAGGTCTCTATGGGCCGCAGTAGACTGAGATCTCGCTACACTAACTCAGTAGTTGAAGGGATCCTTCAAGGAGCTCAAGGACGGGACTGGCACAGGGTGACCCCATTGCTACCTCATCTTCTCTGTGTTCGAGCCCAGTTCTGGAGATGCCCTACAAGCAGAACCATGTCCCCGTGTTTTGTTGTATTTTGTCGCAGTGTAAAAGGTCACGTGTCCTGTGTCGCCAGTCATCCATGTGGAGTGTTTTACTGGTCACTTTAGGTTACTCTCCACGCATGTCGTAATCATTCAGATGCTGTAGCCTCCTGGGCTGTTCCATTCGACTTCAGCATGTGTGATGTATGTTGGGGCCATGGCCCACGTGACACTCCAGGTCTGAATAACGCTGTCTCCCTCTCTCGGCTCTGAAGGAACTACCTTGTTCTGCACTCGCGCCATCCCTAGAGCCCTGCTTCTCCAGGCCGGAGAGACCAGCCAACCGCCGCCTTCCGTCCCGTTGGGCCCCACCCTCCCCCACTGCCTCACCGTCTCAGTCACCCGGAGACCGAGTGTCCTTGGAGGAACACAGTGAGGAGGAGCCACCAGAGGAGAAGCCACACCTGTGACGTGATGCAAGCTTGCATGAATTATCACCAGAATAATTCACTGTAATTTGCACAACCCGACCATCACCATCCACCCACCTCTGCCCCAAAGGGAAGATGTAGCTTTCTCAAGGTGAATGGATGTCTTTAAACACACACGGCTGCTGAATGTTCAACCTGGTAAACTGAGATGTTTCGGCCATGAAACAGAAAAAAATGTGCCTGTAATAATTTTTTTCATAGCTCAGAAAACTATTTTTGCCTCCATCTTTTTTACACACAATATATTAAACAAAAAGGTAAATAAGGTATAAATAGATTTAAGAGTTTTAATATGTACATCGTTAGAGATTCCGAGCGACCTTGTTCCCAATCCTGACTGCCTCTGTTCAATTTGCACTGTTTATTATGCTTGGGGTTCTCACTATTGAGTTCAGAGCATTCTAAGTTAAATTTCATTTTGTTCAGTGTTAGGATTTTTTTAAGAGTCTTTTTTAATGCTTGAGACTGCCCAACTCAGTGAACTCTTTGTAGTGAAAAGGCCACGAGGCCAGAAGACAAGAGCGTCTGTCATCTGAAAGGATGCAGGTCAACAATTGTGAAAAGGTATGGAGTCCATCGGATGGACTTAAGACTCACTGTGTGACCCATAAACTCTGCCTACCGCACATCCTCAGGCACCCACCTGTACATACCCTGCTCCGTCCCTGCCCTCAGACCCACTGTGCGTTGTTGTAAAGGTCCTTGTACCGCACTGTTACTGTCGGTCCCCTGTACCAATGAGATGGCAGCACCATTTTTTAAGTTATTGTTAAAATGTTAACTGGCAGTGTACAAAGCTCACTCAACATTTCCTTGTTTAAGGAAAAGCACTACAAAAAAAAAAAAACCCATGAGGATGCCAAATGGAGACAAATGATGGTGCCTCAGAGTCTGTCTGAGCCCATGATGATACAGAAATAAAGCCCTTACAAGGAAGAAGCAAGGTCTTGGGTGTCACACTTCACTGCCCCCCCTCCCCCCGTCATCTTCAGCTCTAAAGGGAAAGTTTCTCCAGGTTTTCTGTCGCTGGCAGAGTGTAGGGAAAGGGGATATAGAGGAGGGGGCTGGTCACACATCTGGGGCCGCACCCTTGCGACATGGTATTGTCGCTTTCAGGACGTTGAAGGTCCAGGAAAATAAGTGGCTTTGTTTTCACTCCAGACACTAGAGCAGAGGACGGACACGTCCAGGTGGCTACCAACAAGTATAGGTGGCCAGCATCTTCCCTTCTAATCAGGAAAGGGAATAGATCCCAGCTACGAAGATGCTGCTGAAGAGCCCAGGCCTATTTATAGAGGCCAGAACTTCTGGCTTTGATGCTTCATTAGCCCAACGGTTCTCTTCTTCGAAAGAAAAGGAAATAAGGTCTCTTCCCAGGGTCACACAGTGCCTCCTTTCAATGGTTTTCAAAGGCAGGTGTTAGTGGGAAGATGGGGCGGTTGGAACCTTGCCAGCATGTTGGTGAAGTTAGTGATGGAGCACCGTGGAAGACAGCATTACAGTTCCTTTAACCCTCACACAGAGTTACTGCCTAGCCAGCCATCCCACGGCAGGTACACGATGCTTGTAAGTGGAAACAAGACTCATTTAGATGCCTTTACACCGCTTTTTACAGCGGTGTTGTTGTAACAGCCAGAAAGCCAGAACTAGCACACGTGTCCACCCGCACGTGAGGGGAGAAGCAAAATGTGAATTGTAGTGGGAAATTAGCTCGCAGCAAGGAAGGAGGACGCTCTGGTACACTCTTCATTGTGAACCTTGTAAGTGAGGTAAGTCAGGCACAAGTTAGGGATGGAGTCCCACTCGTGCTATTTACTAATGCAGGCCTTCTTAGGGACAAAATAGTGGTCACTGAGGGGCCGAAGGCAGGAGAGATGGGAGCTGGCATGAAACGGTGGCAGGGTTTCAGTATAGGATGAAGAAAAGATGCTGGAAGTCGGCAGTGATGATAACATTGTCCAACAGCTAGAATGCACTTCATGCCAGTGAGTTAACGCTTTAAAAAGCCAACCACAATAAAGCCTTTTTAATGCAGAAAATAGAAATGTCACAGAATCACATTAGATGTAGCCACAAACAACTCGTCGGCAAAGGTGGGTTTTGTGGGGTTGGGGTGTGGCTCCATGGGAGAGTGGTCCTAGCGTGTTTGAAGCCTTGGGATCGATCTCTAGCTTCAGAGACAGAAAGAGACATTGACGGGTGCACAGGAGCATTGTTTCCGCTGGGACCAGCAACTTACTGAGGGTGACAGCGTCGGGATTGCTGTCTCCACCTGTGCACCCTCTGTATCTTCACCCTCAGACAAGTATCCCGAGTATTGGCGGTGATGACCCCAGCAGTCAGTCCTGTGACTTTGGGGGTCCCTAGAGAAAGAGTTTCCACAAAGCTCAAACCCAATGGTCCTTATAACAACACATCAAGGATGCTATTACAATGCCGCCTGAGCCAATCATGGTGACAGGCTGGCCCTGCAAAGGATTCTGGGAGCTGTTGGAATAAAGGAAGAGGGTACAGCTATGAGACACCCCAAAAGTACAGGAAGAGGCCCTCGTCACCAGGATTGTGCCACCTGGATGGAAGAGGTAAGCTTCCGAGGCACAGCAGGGCCTGGGTTGGTGCAAACAGTATTATCACCATTTCCTTGTGGATGAGGGAGAGGTGTGGGAAGCTTTAGTAAGAACAGCCTTATCAGGGAGCTGGCTACTTGCAGTCCTTCCATAAATAAAGCCATCTGAACCTCCAAATACTTAGGTCTACTATGGAGCCACTGAAACTTTAAGAGCCAAGACAGCAGGATGAGATAATTTCTCACTGGTCCGTCCAGATGGACGCCAAGGCAGTTCTGTGGGTTTGGGGTCGGCTACAGAGGCAGAGCAGCTGCCTGCAGGGAAGGGCCCAGGGGAAGGGAACGGCCCATCTCCACCAGCCACCCTTCCTGTGCCAGCTGTTTGCACGTACTAAAGAAAGATGTGGCAGATTCCTGAGGCCCAGGAAGCAAGACTCACCCACCAGCGTGCCCTACCAATGAGGGGTGGCAGCTCCCAACAGCCGGGAGACCCTGACAAGCACAGTCAAGAAGTGGGAGCTGCACCCTGGGTCCGACGTTTTCGTTTCAGAAAATAACACGCTATGGTAAGGTTTTCAAATGATGGATCTGGTTTTTATATCTTTGTACGTAACTCTAATTGTTTTTCTTTACCCTTTTTTTTTAAAAAAAATAAAATGACCTAAGAGGTTTGCAGATACTTAATGTCATTAATTTTTACCGAGTACATCTAATGTTTTGGTATGCACAGTGTGATGCTCACTGCATACTCACCCTCGTGGCGAGAGCCCCTGAAATGGAGGGAATCTGGGTTTTTCTTAAAGAGCCTTGAACTCAACCCTCCTGCTGTGGCTTCCCCAGTGCTATTACAGGCTGTGTGGCACCACATCCGGCTCCAGACTCCAATTCTTTCAGCAAAATTCCCAAACACAGTCCAGCGTCACTGCAGCCTTTGTATCAGGTATTGGAGCTCCAGGCTTTATCAGACTTGGTGGTCAGTGTTCAGTTCCTGTTTTCTAAAAGCCGCTGGAGAGGCCAACTGCTCGTTTCTAGTTTCTAGCTTGTTGTTGTTAGGTTGTGGTAAAATATATGTTGTATAAATTTTACCATTTAAGCCCTTGTTTTTGTTTTATGCTTTTTGAGACAGGGTCACTACTCCCTGTGTAGACCAGACTAGCCTAGAACTCAAGAAATCTGCTTGCCTCTGCCTCCCAAGTGCTGGGATTGAAGGTGTGTGCCTCCACACGTGGGATTTAAACCATTTTAAAAGGTACTTTTCAGTGGTAGTAAATACACAGTGTTTTGCCAACCATTACCCCGTCTTGCAGACACCCCACAAAGCCCCAGAAGCATTAGCTGCCCCTTCCCTGCATGCATCAACTTGCTTTCGTTCTTCAGGGTCTTGCTTACTTAAGAACTCTCTCGTAGGTGGGTATTCTATAGACTGTGTGGCCTTCTAGGTCTGGCTTTTTTCACTTAGCACAGAGGTTTCAGGGTTCCTCCATGTTGTACAAGTAACAGGACTTCATTGTTGTGTTGAAGACAGGTTTCTCTTAGTATTCCTGGCTGTCCTGGATCTCACTCTGTAGACCAGGCTGGTCTCTGCCTCTTCATTGCTGGGATTAAAGGTGTGGGTCACTACCTCCTAGTTGACTTCATTCATTTTTATGGTGTATAATAATGCATTGTATTTTATGTATCCATTTAATAGTTGGTAGTATGTGTCTATTTTAAAAACAAAAGAAAACTTTTGGTCACCTTTGAAGAGCTGAAGCATTCCCTCCAAAGGAGAGGATTCACAGTGAGCAGCCAGGACCAGGCACTTTGGAGTCCTTAAACTTCCTTGTTGCGAGAGGCCCCCATTCTTAATACATTCGTCATGATTGTCTTTGATTACATATTGGCCTTTCAGCAACTCTTCTCTGTGAACACAGTGTAAATCAGTATCATGTATAGCAAGAACACAGGCTGAGTCATAGACAAGCTATTTTCATAAAATTGAAGACACTGCATGTTTAAAATCACTTGGGGCCCTAGAATCCGTATGACACTAAGAGCCAAAGACCTGGGGCCAAGTCCTGGTTCAAACCCTTGCAGCACCAGGCCACCCTTGTAAGGCTCAGTTGAAAAGCAGCAGCCGTGATGCCTGCTTCACTAGGACAGTGTCAGGATTAAGGTCTGCAGTTGAACCTACTGCGTGCAAGATACCATGTGCGGGTTAGCCAGCCATGGGGCAGGTGGATTAGCCCCTCAGCCTTATGGAGCCTTTGTTCTGGTGATGCAGAGCAAACAGGGAGGCTTGCTTGGTGGAGAGGGCACCTGCTACCAAGTGGGGCCTATTTTGCCTGCCGCTTACTATGCCATCCCTGAAGTCAGCCTATGCATGAGCCAGCCAAAGAGACTGGGAAGTCCTTGGGCTTAACTCAGCCTTCCTAGGGTTGCAATGCAGAAACAGGTGGTCTGGGCTGGGAAGGATGGAAGGCTGGAGGTGAGGAAGATGAAGAAATCAGTGTACATGAACTTAATGACGCTCCTTTGGGTAGGGGTGGATATTCAGGAAATGGCAGTTAGTGTGACCCAAGGGCGGAGCTTGTGGCCCACCATGCCAAGGTCATTCATCAGTCACGGGTTACAGGCCCACAAAAGGAATCAGTGGCTCCAACAATTTCTAGCTAAACAAGAAAAGCTATTTCCAAATCCCATAACGAAACAAATAAACAAAAAAAAAAATCACCAAGCAGTTGTGGCACACGCCTTTGATCCCAGCACTCAGGTAGGCAGAAGCAGGCGGATCTCTGTGAGTCCAAGACCAGCCTGGTCTACAGAGTGAGTTCCAGGATAGCTAGAGCTGCACAGAGAAACCCTGTCTCAAAACCCCCCAAACAAACAAAGCATTCTTCACCAAGCTGGCAGTGCATTAAGTGACGTCTGTGACCAGTGGCAAAGCAAGGGTCTGGAAGCAAGCGAGCCGAGGCTTTGAGGTCTTCTCTGGATTTCAACGGAAACCACTTACTGTCCAGGTTTCAGTTAGGAAAGGAGAATGACTCATGTCTCCTACAAAAGAAAAAGGTATAAATAAATCTCATCGTGAGGAACTGTTATGCGACCCCACATGACCCTGGCCTCCCAGGAAGTTGCCATTTGCGCGTGCGCAAGGGTGGGAGCGTATCTATAACAAGAAAATGCAGTCACTAGGCAGGGAAGAACCTGGTCAAAGTCCAGTGGGGAGGGAGGATGAGTTCCATGTTAAGGTCGCTATGGCTGGAGAAGTAAAGGACTCTGGAGAGGGACAGAGGAGAAATCGGGACATGGGGAGACCTTAGAGAGGGCGTCCACAGGGAAGGGTTAGGGTACCAGGCCTTTTCTTCTGGGCCACCGACCAGCCCCCATATCACGACACATAGAGATTTCTTACTAGTTTTCAATGCCTGGCCTAGCTTACGCTCAACCTGCTTTTCTTTACCTTTTGCCTCGGTGATTTTTACTTTTCTCTCCTCCTGCTATCTTACTTTCACTGCTTCTGTGGCTGGCTGGAGACTGCCTGGCTTCTTGCCCGGGTTTGCCCCTCATTTTCGCCTCCTCTCTTGTTCTTTCTCAGGCCCAGATTTCTTCCCCTCTTTATTCCCTCTTCCTGTCAGCCCTGCTATTCTTTCTCTGCCTAGTAATTACTGTTCAACTCTTTCCTCGACCAATCAGGTGCCTTAGGCAGATAAGGCAAAACAAATGCAACACATCTTTACATAATTAAACACCCATCCTTACATCAGTAACAAATGCAGTATACCAAATGTAATGCACCTTTACACAATTAAATATTCCACAGCATAAACAAATGTAACACATCTTTACATAGCTAAATATTCCGCAACAGGCTGGGGTTTCCTGACAGGAGAAGAAAGGCGCTGTCAGATAATAAGCAAAGGAGTTCCCGAATGTTGTAAGCAGCAGAAGAGGAGGAGGTGGAGGCTTTCAGGACCAGGGCTGTGGTACTCAGTCAGGGAGGAAGGCGGGGTGGTCTGGGCAGATTCTGCAGTTGCTACAGTCGGGTTCACAAAGGAACAGGGCAGTGGGGTCTGCTGCAGAGAACCCACACACTGCCTAGGAACCCAAGAGCCACACCTAGTTGCTCAGTTAAAACCATTATTTATTCTGCTACCTCTGAGACCTGTCAACCTTTTTAAGACCTTCTGCTCCTCTCTCAGCTCCTCCCTCCAGGCACTAACAGCTAGGTTCTCTTTTGTGTTCTGTTTCTTTAAGGTTAGGCACTTGTAAGCAATCGTTTGACATTTGTAACCTAGCAAAAGTAAGTATCTATTTGTTTGCTTGTTTGTTCTGTTCTGTTCTGTTCTATAAGGGGATGACTGAGGTCCCTGTATGTAGGGGTGGCTGGAGAGAGCTACAGTGGCCCAGCTGTCAGTGCTGCAACACAGTCTGAATGAAATGGTACCAAAGGGATCCTGGCCTTATTTCCCTAGCCCAGCCTGTCTCATTGCAAAGATTGGTGTTCCCTGATCTCCTAGCAAGCTAGTAGCCATCAGGAAAGCCCTTGGAGAACACACAAACCCTCAAATCCTCATAGTGATCCTGGAATGAATTTACATTCATCAGTGGCCCTGGGTTCACAAGGCAAACCCAGCTCACCTTTGTCCCCTACAAATATCATTTCAGATTAATTATGAAAGCAAAGACTAAAATAAGAGCATATAATAGTAAGTTAGATGTACCTAGTAATGCCTATTTTAATTCTGAGTTCCACATTTCCAGAGAGAGAGAAAGGAATTTATCTCTACAATGCTATTTTTGTGTCTTGAGTCCTTTCACTCAGGGAGATATGTTCCCAGATAACCTCAGTGAGCTCAGAGTAATCTGTGAAATGGATCTGTATGGGGTCAAGCATGCAGTGAGATGTGGGGAAGGCTGCCCAAGTGATTAGTCAGTGTTCTCTAAAGGAACAGAATGATAGACAGAATGATAGACTAGATAGATTGATAGATAGATAGATAGATATAAAATTTATGTGTGTGTGTGTGTGTGTGTGTGTGTGTGTGTGTGTGTGTACTGTGTTCCAGGTAACCCAACAAAGACTCTCTCCCACTAGAAAGGATAAAAATACCGCAACTGTTCCATCCATGAGGCTGAATGTCTCAACTGGCCCAGACTACAGCTGGAGTCCTGGCGGTTTCCTAGGGAACTGCTAGTCTTCAGTCTGCATTGGAACCTGGAAGAATTAGGTTCTAATCCCTCCATGGAATGCCTCAGCAACAGGATAGAAGGGTTTACCATGCAAGGCTGAGGGCAAGCAGGTGAAAGAAGAAAGTTCCCTTCTTTCATGTCCTTGAAGGTGTGGTCCAGATCTAGGGTGGTTCTTGCCCACTCAAATAAGCAAATCAAGAAAATCCCTTACTTCATGCCCAGTTGCTTGGGTTTTAGTTAATTACAGATATCTACTTGACAACCAGGATTGGCTCTCACGGCAGCTACGTAAGCAGGCCTGTTCACTGATGCTAAGCCCTGGCCCAGGCCTTTGAGAATACTAAGCTCATGATGGCCTTTCTCTTTCCCCAAGGTTCCTGATCCAGCCAAGAGAGTTCCTCTATCTGGGTCAACTCCAGCCTCCGTGTTTTCTCCTGAACCGAAAATACCTGCTCCTCTGAGGCTAGGTGGCTCATGTGCCAAGTAGAAAGAGGAGGCATCCTGGACAGGTTACAAGGATTGGACTGAGTGATGCTGGCTAAACAGTAAGCACTATAGTGAGAACTATGTACATGGGTTAAATAAATGAGTAGACAAGAAGCAAGTTGTAGCACAACGTGAAGAGTGCTGTAATGGTGCAGGCAAGTGTAGCGTGAGCATGTAAGGGGCTGGTCCTGTCTAGGAGGCAGTGTAGAAAGATCTCACACTGTTGGCAAGTGTAGAATGAGCATGTAAGGGGCTGGTCCTGTCTAGGAGGCGGTGTAGATAGATCTCACACTGTTGGCAAGTGTAGAATGAGCATGTAAGGGGCTGGTCCTGTCTAGGAGGCGGTGTAGAAAGATCTCACACTGTTGGCAAGCATAGAGTGAGTGTGTAAGGGACTGGTCCTGTCTAGGAGGTGGTGTAGAAAGATCTCACACTGTTGGCAAGCATAGAGTGAGTGTGTAAGAGGACTGGTTCTGTCTAGGAGGCGGTTTAGAAAGATCTCACACTGTTTGCAAGTGTAGAGTGAGCATGTAAGGGGCTGGTTCTGTCTAGGAAGCTGTGTAGAAAGATCTAACACTGTCAGTAAGTGTAGAGTGAGCATGTAAGGGGCTGGTTCTGTCTAGGAGGTGGTGTAGAAAGATCTAACACTGTTTGCAAGTGTAGAGTGAGCGTGTAACAGGCTGGTCCTGTCTAGGAGATGGTGTAGAAAGATCTCACACTGTTTGCAAGTGTAGAGTGAGCGTGTAAGGGGCTGGTTCTGTCTAGGAGGTGGTGTAGAAAGATCTCACACTGTTTGCAAGTGTAGAGTGAGCGTGTAAGGGGCTGGTCCTGTCTAGGAGGCAGTGTAGAAAGATCTCACACTGTTGGCAAGAGTCTCGAAGAACACAGAAGACTTCTTCAGCCCAGAAGGAAGAGGGAAGAAAGAAAAAGTCCTCATACCTCGCTGGGACTTCTTTCAAGATAGGAAAATTATTATCAGTGATTTTGATTGTTTGACAACTGTTTGGGTTTGTTGTTGCTGTTTGGTTGCTTTGTTGTTGCTTTAGTCAAATATGATCCTGTGTGAGGTTTGCTGTGAAGAAAACTGGAGTCGGGAAATGAAGGACACCATGATGACACTGGGACCTGCCATCCCTTAGGGTGGCTGGCCGTGTGCAGTGGTCCACAGACAGACACTTGTTTCCTCCCTCCTGGCACATGCTTGGTCTGGCTTTGTGTGGAAGGAGTCACTTTTCCTTGGCTCCCATGACAATATCCCTTGTCTCCATCAGTCTGTGCTAGCTTCAGCTCACTGCCAGTGGAGCTAGTGACCCAGGTAGTCACGCCCACAACCCACCGGGTCCTTGTGAGTTACACTCTGTGGACAGCTGCCAAGGCTCTAGGGACGTGCTAACAAAAATCATATCTACATATTAAATTTGATGTGTTTGTCATGGCAGCTGTTCATAAGTACCCTCTTCCTCCCTCTGAGCCAGACTTTTGTCACCCTTCCTTTTAAGGTGGTACAGCTCTTGGCCAATGAGATGTGAGCAATACCGAGTGTCTCAATTTGCGCTGGACATTTTAAATCACTGTAGTTTTGACAATTTCATACATGTAGGGAATACACTGTGAACATATTTACCCCGTTACCCTCTCTTACCCCTCCCACTCTGACAGGCCCTCTCTCACTGTCTGTCGTGTCTTATTTCATGAGTGTGTAGATCTTGTGAGGGAAGGCATAGCTGCTGTGCGTTCATGATTACATCAGCCATGCCGTGTCCAGGAGAAAGCATCTGATGGGATTCCCCCAGTGCTGGAACATGTAAGAGCCCACACTGAGTAGGTTCTTTATTCTGCCCAAACAATTATGTGAGCACCACACCAGCCTGGATCCCCAACTGCCTGCCCCCATCCCCAGATGCACCTTAAAATGGAACATGAGTTCCCATTACACCACTGAGATTTGGGGATTGTTCAACAGTGCAATATAACTGCCCTCTCACCAAAAATGGAAGGCAGAGTTGTCACAACACATGCACAAATGCCACTCGGTGTCATCAAAAGGGTAAGAGAGTTTAAAGTAGTGAAAAGAGTATTTTGGTGTGTGTGTGTGTTTTTTTTTAAATCTGACTTTAATAAGGAAATTTTCAGATCCTTCAGTAAGAGGACAGATGACTGACTGTATGCTGACCTCATTATTGACGTAGCCAGCTGTGCGAATGCAGCAGGAGGCTTGCACCAACACTCTCGGGGGCTGTTCCTTGCCTGTCCTGCCTCCACCACCCACTTGTTGAGTCGGGGTGAATTTCTCCCTCCCGCTGGCAAATGGAGACAACACAGCACTCTTCCTAAGGAAGTACAAATGCAAGTCAGAAGGGCGCTAGGAACATCTTAGCAAAGCTTTCTCTCTCTCTCTCTCTCTCTCTCTCTCTCTCTCTCTCTCTCTCTCTTCTCTGACTGTCCTGGAACTCACTGTAGACCTGACTGGCCTCGAATTTACAGAGATCTGCCTGCCTCTGCCTCCCTGAATGCTGAGATTAAAGGCGCGCGCCACCACCCAGCGAGCAAAGCCTTTGTTTTATACACAGACTCAATGATGGCAAAGGCTCCACTACCTCCTTGGGCTCTCTTCATTATCACAGCACAACCATGGCTCTACTGGACTTAAGGACCACACGATATAACCCAGAAGCTCCTGAGTGGGACCACTGCCATCTTGGAAATGTTTCCCTTGGTGATTCGAAGAAACAGTGGGTTGAGACCCAACATTAATGGAGATCTCTTAAGCCTGGGGGTCCCCAACTGTCTGTACCTCAGACCTTCAGATGTAACTGATTCTGGTGACATCTCAGTATTGGAAATTGAAGAACAAAACCTTCAGGTAATTTTGTTTTCAGCAATGTTTGGTAGCTCTGTTCGTAAACAGGTTCAATGGGCCAAAGTCTGACAGACATGGGTATAAGTCCACATCACAATAGAGTTCTTTAGGCTCTCTAGCATTCTCTTTTCCCTGTCTGCAAAAGGGGGAAGTGACGTCACAAGATGACTGTCCTGATTACCTCCTAGTAACATTTCATTTAATTCTCTCAATTGCCACATTAAAAAAAAAATCTTATGTGTACGTGGTGAGCCTGAGTGTATGTATGCACCATGTTTGTGCCTAGTGCCTGAGGAGATCAGAAAACAACATCAGATCTCCTGGAACTGGACTCTTCTACGGTTATAAGCCATTATGTGGGTATAGGAATCCCACTTGGATCCTCAGTAAGAGCGATAAGTGCTCTTATCCACTGAGTCATCTCTCCAGCCCTCAATTACCTTGTGGATCAAGGCGATTTTTTTCTAATTTCTTAGCTGAAGGAACTGAGGGTCAGAAAGGCTTCTGGCTGTCTCAGGGTAACCCAGTGTTCTGGTCAGGGTCACTGTAGTTGTGCTGGACACCGTGACCAAAGTGACCCAGTGGAGGAAAGGGTTTGTTTGGCTCACACTTCCACGCTGTTCTCCATCATTGATGGGAGTCAAAACTCAAACAGGGCAGGAACCTGGCTGCAAGAGCTAATGCAGAGGCCACGGAGGGGTTACTAGCTTACTGACTTTGCTCCCTGTAGCTTGCTCAACCTGCTTTCTCAGACAACCCAGGACCACCAGCCCAGGGATGGTACTACCCACAACAGGCTGGGCCCTCCTCCATTGATCACTAATTAAGAAAATGCCCTACAGGCTTGCCTCCATCCTGATCTTATGGAGGCATTTTCTCAATTAAGGATTCTTCCCCTCTAGATTGTATCAAATTGACATAAAACTAGCCAGCACACCCAGTGATAATTCCGTTCTCTCTAGCTTGTGTCAGATAAATTAGCCAGCACACCCAGTTATAATCGACAGAGCCAGTTTACACTAACACACTTAGTTTGTACTAACCACTGAGATGTTTCTGAGTCTCGCAAACTAACCCTTTTTCCTCCAAGAAGGAACAACCAATGCCCCCACATTCCTTGTAGTTGAAATGGCCCCACTGTGGGATGCATTTAAGCTGCTGTGTGGGTCTGGGGTCTTCCTGGCTCTCCTGCAGCTGAATGCACTAAGACCTGTCTTGAATCTTGTTGACTTCAATTTATCCCTTGTCAAGGTGGCAAAAAAAAAGTCTTAAATGGCCTATTTGACCACATCCTTTTTCTCTCTTTCCCAGATAAACAATATCTACAGATGACTGTTTCTTTAATTGCCGTGGGGCCCATGTCTCAAGGGATCATAGCCTGTTAAATCCTAGAATAGTTAATGGAGAAGGGCGCGCACACTCAGCTTCAATATTACAGAATTTACATCTGCTGACCCAGTGATGGACAGGGGATTGCCTAAGGCACTTCTGCTCTGTCAGCTTTTGTCGCAGACGGAAATGCCCAAGGTAGTCAGAGCACACAGAAGAAAGGTTTACTTGACTCACGAGTTCAGAGATTCTAGTCCATGATTGGCCTCATCACTTGGTGCCTGTGGCTGCACACTGTATCATGGCA